CGTGGAATATTTACTGATATTTATCTAGTTTTTTCTGCACACATTTCTGTACTGTGATCCTGAGATGAAAAGCAAATATAACACGGTAGTGTTACTCTCTTTATTTCAGTTGGTGACTTTTACGTAACCAACAAGGCATTGTCTCTCTGTCAGAAAAATAAAAACACAAATGACTTCATCACACAGCTGTCCTCTGGTAGACATTTCCTTAATTGTCACTGTCAAAGATATAAATAGATAAATAAATATATATAGCGAGCGAAACTAGGCAAAAGAATACTCTTTCCCTGTGACCTGAACATTATTGTAAAATTAACATCTATTGTATTCTATTTGCCGAACGAAGCGAGACACATTTTCCTTCCCCCCTTAGCAAAGTCTTGGTTCCGCCACTGATCAAATGCACAGATTTTAAATATGACACCAATCATGACACCTTATCATAATTATACCAGTCACCCAAAACCGTGTTAACAGCCATTAGCCACCCTCGGACCCAGGTTTAATGTTTTTAAAACTCCCCAAGCGTAGCGAGGCAAATATAGAATGACAGAAAAAGGGAAGTGTTACTTTTATGTGCAGATCACAGGATTGTAAATTGTCTAGTTTTTGTCTAGTTTGGGGGGAGATGAAGCCAACAGTGTATGCTATGTACACTGTATAGTGTAAATGATTTGTTATTGTGGTCATACGATGGAATGCTAAACCCTACTGTGCCAAAGACACCCTTCCATAAGTATCATAGGCACGCACACAGAAGTTCATATTGTTCAAATGCCCCTGTAGAGCCGCATTTTGCAACCGACCGCATTTTACAACCGGTTGCAAAATACGTTCAGTTGCAAAATGCGGTCCTACTAAGTAGTGCCGCATTTTGCAACTGAACGCATTTTGCAACCAAAGAAAATCGTGAAAACGCATTTTGCAACTGCAACGCATTTTGCAACCAGGATTCTTTTCTAAGAGTCTAAAACAGTTTGAAGTACTAAACAGGTAGAATTAGAGTGGGGACGGGTTTGCTTCGACTAAATGCGGCTCTACACCCTCAATATGATACGAACAGGAAACAGTCACAAGTAGGCCTAATCCTCATGACTTCAACCTAACCAGAAGTTAAGACATTGACCAAATTTGTAGCTAAATGATATAGAGAAAAGCAGGACTTCTTAGTACAATTTAACACAATAGCCCAAAATACGTATGGCATGTCTATGGGGAGAAACATTTAATGGATGTGGTAGTATCATGTAAAATATTATATCCTGGCATAATTAAGGTTGGCAGAATTTGTTCCAATTGCGTAAACGTCTTCATAATCATATGAATTAGTCTTTATTATATGTATTAGTGTTCGTGTAAGATACATGTAATCCTTAATTTGATATTGTACTGTTCGTACGGTAGTTACAGAATATAATAGTACAGTGCAGCTTAAAGTCATATTAAAATGTACTAGTACCGAAAAAAATGGTAAATTAGTAAGAAAGAAACATATTAAGACATTATATGTAGGTTTAATAAATGATAATCAGGATGCATTATTTTTATGAAAATTTCAGGCTTTGTTCAGTCAGTTTACGTCCTGAGTGTTTTCGTGCCCAGTCCATTTACAAAGATGGCCGCCAAACACCTCAATATACGCCTGTCTTTTATGACCGGATTGGCAATCTCGTTCTTGGGCCTGGTGCTGAGTTCCATCGCCCCGGATATTACATTTCTGACAATATCGCGCGGAGTTTTTGTTGGTTTTGGCGTCAACTTCACCTTGGTTCCCATATCATTTCTTATAGCTGAGTGGTTTCCATGGGAACATCGTTTCCACGTTTTGGCAACAAGTTTTCGGATGACGATTAATCCTATAGGTAAGGGCAGCTTTTCGTTATGTCTATTTCTTTAGTTGATTTTGCATATTCAACAACTGCTACCTGGAAAACACATTTACTTGCAATTTTAATTCTCTATTAGGGCTTCAATCATAAGACATAAAACGATCCCCTAATTACGATGTTTTACCACACTAAGGTATTAATTCGCCTCTTTAACGATAAAATCAGAAGTAACCCTTTTAAGAAGATTGCTTTACACGCGATTGTAGCACTTATTGTTCTGATTAAGTAGGCTTTTAAATGGTGCTGATAGCTTATCAGGTGAGGGAGATCGGCTTGAAATAGAAAACACAATTTTCACAACAAAAACGCTGTCATTACGTCATCAGTCCGAATAAACATATTCGCGTCGATGTATTTTCGATGTAACAGCAATATCTCATAACATGACGATGTTGATTTCATTCTTATGATCTTTTCTGCATTATCTAAGCGGATAGGAAAATAGACACTAACATATCGAACCACCTTAACGTGTTTCAAAGGTCCATTGAAAAACAGCCATCTTCTGTTCAATTTCCAGGGAGCGTAGCTGGCGCTAATCTTATCAGATGGATTAATGATCTTCTCGGCTGGAGGTATTCTTTTGGTGTTCTCGCCATTCTTGCAGTCTGTACTGCTTTTAGTTTGGTGCTGTTTCTTCGCCACCCAGAAGAACACGACAAAGATAAGGCACATTCTGAAGCACTCGAACAAAGTAAAATTCCATGGAGCAGAGCATCTAAAATGATTATATTTGTTCTTTGGGTGACTATATCATCTTGCAAAGCAGTTGGTCAAGCAGTATTTTACACCATTGTGGTAGGTNATTGAAAAACGGCCATCTTCTGTTCAATTTCCAGGGAGCGTAGCTGGCGCCAATCTTATCAGATGGATTAATGATCTTCTCGGCTGGAGGTATTCTTTTGGTGTTCTCGCCATTCTTGCAGTCTGTACTGCTTTTGGTTTGGTGCTGTTTCTTCGCCACCCAGAAGAACACGACAAAGATAAGGCACATTCTGAAGCACTCGAACAAAGTAAAATTCCATGGAGCAGGGCATCTAAAATGATTATATTTGTTCTTTGGGTGACTATATCATCTTGCAAAGCAGTTGGTCAAGCAGTATTTTACACCATTGTGGTAGGTTATAGGATATGTAACATTAACATGCAATGAACTATCAGAAAAATAATTCTATAAATCTTATATAAATAATTAATGATATTAATGTTATAGGTACAAGTCATTCAAGTCATTCAATCATTCAAGTCATTCAAATGTACCATATATGTGCTCTATGATAGGTGGGTCAAAATGTTTAAACATTAACACTATAAAAATGTGTTTTAGGTAAAATATGGAGAGGACCTGGGTTTTGATGCTCTTACTGCCACTCATCCCTTGACAGCAGATGGGATAACAGGATCTATATCTAGAGGGCTCACCTCTTTCCTTGGAGACTATATAAAGGGGAACATTCTGCATATGTATGCCGTTTGTGCCACCATGTTGTCAATGGCCAATGTTTTGGTGCCGTATGTTAAATCGCCCGTTGAATTGATAATATTTGGCGCAGGTATAAAAAAATTTGAAAACGGTATTTTTTTTGTATCTTGTAACGTAAGATTCACTTGACTCTATTTTATTAAAGACAGAACGATGTTTTTCTTATTTGTAGACTGCTATTGTAATATCTTATAATTTTTTTTCTGATATTTGTTTTAGTATTTGATTTCGAATCATGATTTTATATCACAGTAATAGGAGCCGGACAGGGTCCTATCTTGGCCGCGTGGTATGCCGCGTGCAGTGAAGCCCTGGGCGGGGAAAGTGTTCACACGCTTTTTGTCCTCCAACTTGTAAGCTGGGGAATAGGGCAATCCATTGGAAGTATTTTACCAGGTAATATCCATCATCTCCTTATTTAGTTATGATCACTGTTCCTCAAAATCCATTGTGACATTCATACAGAGAAAAAATTAAAATGTCATTCACAGTGGATTGCAATTACCAAGAACCCACACTTCCATTCATTTTGTATTGGCATTAAATTCATTTTGTATTGGCGTTAAAAATACAAACTTAGTTTGTGTATTAACAGTTAAAATATGAACCCATTCAGAACAGCGGACTAACAGATTCGCGGATCAAATATGGCAACTCACTTTAAAGCTTGCCGCTTAATGCTCGATTTGACACTGAATAGATTCCCCGCGGGTATTACGCAACAAGCATTTAAGTGCGTAGGCCATATTTGACCCGCAGATCTGTTAGTCCGTTGTTTGTTAAACCGGTCCAGGCCTTTCCTTTCGTTAAACCGAAGTTTCCAGTCGTAGCACAAAGTTACATTTACAATGATGATTATTTTTATTCCTTTCAGGGCTTATTCTAGATTTTACGAAGAGTTATACCTTGCTGTTTCATGTATTGGCAGTGTCCTATGGCTTCATTGTATTTGGGTTTATTTGTATAATACTGCTCAATCGACGACATGCTTCTGTCAACAATGTATCCATTCGTTCTTCCAACATGGCGTTAGGAAAAATCGGCTCAGCCTCTAAAACTGCTGAAGATATGTCAATGTCTGAATATCGATTGATACTTGAATCATATCCAAAATATGATTACGTTGAAGAGAGGGTCCAGCCATCTCAGGATGAACGATGAAAGGCAATTGACAGGGGACCCGAGTTCGGCAAATCTCGGATGATTCCGTACGTCACTTCCACGTTTGTGGTAAAATCATGTAAAATCATCAAACCCCCCCTCCCCCCCTCCCCGAATTTTTTTGGCCTTGACATGTTTCATACCTTTACCTACGTGGAGTATTTGGCGAATTTCTCGTATTATTACATGTTTTCCCTTGGACCATGTACCTGTATTTGTAGATGAAGGTATAATCAATGATGCCACTTAAACAGTACTGTGCTGGACCAACAATATTATATACTTCATTACCCGACAGACACCGACATATTGTCGCCAAATATGGTCGTTAACACACTTTACGTAGTGCTGATGCTTGTTTATTGACTTTTAAGTTAATTAAAATAAACCTGGTATATTAACGAAAGTCGGCGTTCCTGGTCTTATTACCCGTGTACACGTATTTTCGTTCTTCCCATTAATTTCAGGAGTTTTATAAATTTATAAAAGGATTTCCGAGAGCCTTGAAAGGAATCAACCTTACAGACGCTATCTATCTGGACACTGCTGTCTTAGGCCCCAAGTTCCTAGCTTCAGAATATACATTCCCGGAGAAAACGGACTTCAAAAGAAGTGCAAATGCGTTGAAAGTAAATATTGTGACATAAACCAACTTTTGTAAACTCAAAGATAACGAAATCCAGGCTATGAGGGTGTAAATCCCAATATTTGCACGTGTTTTTTTAACTGGTACTCACTGTACCAAGTTCTGTTTTTGCAATGGCAAATTTCTATTTTTTCTTTAATTATAAATTATTTCCCACGGTGAGGGCCTATCTAGCTTGAATCCAGATAAAATTACTGGCCTTTGCGCGTTTTAATTTTAATTAATTTAAAAAGCAGTTTTACATAAAACCAATGTTTCTCACCATAGGAATTCTCAAGATTCATGAACGAGAAATCCCACACAGAGGGAATTCTGCCGTTTACTAGATTTGTAGCAAGATGGGTGAAAGGCACCGATTGTTTTCTGTGTCCAACGTCCAATCCAACCAGTCTGAAAGTTGCTGGCGACGCGGGTCATTTTACCACGTTAGGAATGGATGGGGTAATTGACACACTGCAGGAAGGCCCCGGCTTTTCGTATACCATGCATAAGGTACATTTATCTCTCTTCTCTCTCTCTCTCTCTCTCGTTTACTCTGTATTATATAAAATCTCTCCTTTTCAGTGTCATTTGTTTACTTCGAGTTTCCGTGTTTTTTGTGTGCGATTGCTATGTAATAATGTGTGCTTTTTATCAAAAAATTTGAATCACTTTCATAGTCGACTATGAGGTAAATAGCAGAGGCGCATTTCCGATTAACTGAATTTTAATTACACAACGTTCAAGTTGGAACACTAGTGTATTGTGCTTTCTTCTTTCAGCTGGTTGAAGCATGGGACAACTTGGGTCTTGAAGGAACTCTTCACTGGGGTAAAATTACCGAAGTGACAAACTTCAAAGAGAAGATCAAAACTTACTTCAGACACGACCTGGGATTCTTTGAAAATATCCGCAGGAAAATCGATCCTCACGGCGTGTTCATGAATGATTACCTTAGTTACCTCTATGACGCCTTTAATAATGTTAACTGATATTATGATAACATTGAAAAATATTATTAATGCTAGCAAACTTATCGGAATGAAGGCCCATCACGATGTTCACAGCGGGTTCAGATAAACCGAATTCCGAGAGAATGGACTCATATGTAACTTCATTACCTCCTTCTTGTTTCACGAGTGGCTGTTGTGGAAGAAGAGCTAAATTATTGATATAAATCATATTTTATCTCTATTTTCATATACCGAAGATAAAGAGATGAATTAGTATATGCATGTAGTTGCTGTTTTGCTGTTATTCATATTTACACATAATTTTCCAAATAAAGCATAACTTTCTTTTAAATTAATTACACGAAGAGTCGATTCAAAAACTAATTAGGAGACGACGTGAAGTATACATTTTTAACACCGGTGAAGAATAGATGAATGTCTGTAATTAGCGACATTATCACCAGAAGATTTTATGGCTATTTATGACAGTTACACCCTTGAGGTGATCATTTGTTAATAAAAGCACTTGGAATTGGAGGTGTGACAACTGTGACCAATGATGTATAGAAGATTTGTAGCACAGGCATTTATTTTTGTTCTGGAAAAAATCCAGTGATCAAACCTCAGTTGATCTTATTTTGATCACGATTGCACATCGGCTGACATTGCTGATGTGCTGTTTTCTTTTTCAAATTATCTACTTAACTACTTCATTTATTCACAGTTTATAAGGTTGCTACATATTAATAGAATAATATGATATATCAGGATTAGTTTAGCAAAAAACATACCTCAAGTAACTTTTCTGAAAACATTAATTGCCACAATTTGTACTTTATTTCTAAATTAGGAAACACGTATTGTTCACATAAAATTTTTAATGCGTGACAAATTCTATGATCCAAGGATTAAAATAAGCGATAAGCATTGTACAGTAGTCGTTGTCAAACAATGCACACCAGCATTATTACGTCACCGTTTCCCCTGCTTTTTATTAGTCTTTGACGTGTAAGTATGTTTTCATAATGATTGTCAAAGTTTGGGTGAATGAAAGAAAAGGGAAGAAAAATTCCTCGCTTCAGCCTTAAGCCCTGCACCTGTGGCTCCAAGTCCAAAAACTCAATGCTGGAATTACATTGTAGGTCTCTATCAAAATTGAAGGGTGAAGCGACATCACAGTTTACATCCCCAAAAGGTCACACGAAAACATATTTTAAAAGCAATTTGTGTCTGAATTAAAAAAAGATTCATTGATGACTGGCTGGTCTTGCAATTAATCACTGCAATGGGCCATATCAATGGAAATTTGTAATTTTGGGGAACTATCCATGTACAGAAGAGGACGGGGCACATGTACATTCTATGATAAGCAAACAAACAAACAACAACAAAAAAAAAAAAAAAAAAAAAAANCAATTTGTGTCTGAATTAAAAAAAAAGATATTTCACTGATGACTGGCTAGTCTTGCAATTAATCACTGCAATGGGCCATATAAATGGAAATTTGTAATTTTGGGGAACTATCCATGTACAGAAGAGGACGGGGCACATGTACATTCTATGATAAACAAACAAACAAAAAAAAAAAAACAGCAAGTGTGAGACAGACATATTAATCACATTTCTGAAGAGACTGCAGGTGAAGCCCCAAAATGTGATGAATGGGAATTCCTGGGTGTTTGGTATTTTCACTGCCTTCTCTTAAAGGCATCGGACCCAGCAACGGAAGATTTGTTATTGGTGTATCTGAGTCGAGAGACTTTGTGCTATTTAGTGACTTTAATCATAGAAATAGAAAGATGTTTTTCTGGTTCTATGCTTTAATTAATGGTAACCAGAATCTAGTGTCTATTTTGTAAAATTATTCAAGCAACCAGAAACTAGAATCCTTTATGCAGGAGGGGGGAAAGGGAGAGGGGTGGTCGAAATAAATGTTGATATAAACGTTTTAGGCAAAGAATTCGAGATCAAATTCTCTAACTAATCACGATAAAGGCCTAAAGGTTACCGTGTTCGAGGTCATACAAAAATGACTTAAGTTAAAAATTAAAAATGTTCTAAAAATAAATGTGGCAGCGTAATAAACTGTGAATGAATTAATATAGGCCTATATTTGTCAAGTCGGATTTTTGAAAAGGTATATGGCACTTTGTAACAGCCGATGAGTTACCGTTATCAAAATCAGATCACTTGAGGTCACTGACATCTTTCCTGTACTCTTATAACAAGTCATATTGAAATTATGGCGTAGCGATAGTACTTTCCTCCAGATTACATATAATATCCCTCGCAGAAGATAATGCCTCATAAATATTAATGAGTGGTGTCAATGGCCGGGAATGCGAAAAATATCTCTTGAAAGTGTCGAGCAAGATGTCTCTTAACCTCTGGGACAACCGTCATTAAAAAATGCCAGTGGACAACATGTTTTATTCTCGAAAACCTTGTCATCACTCAATAAGTACTATCTCTTCTCTATTTGACCAATGTTGTGTACGTAAACTAGTTACGATCCGATTCTTCCTTTTATTTTCTTTCTTTCTGTACTTAATTATTTCTGGGAACTTTTGTGCTCCATACTGAAATCTTTGAAGTTATACATTTATTCTGTTGTATATACGTATCCATTTGTTTTATTTATTTACTTATTTAATTTTGTGGAGAGCATTTAATGCTTTTAGCGCTTTGCCTCCATTTCTTTCGAATAAACGTTGTTAAAAAAACATGTTTTATTTAGAAACGTGCTGGTACGAATGCACATGCTCACGACACAGATTTAATCTGTTATTCAGGTTGTGACCCCTCAACGAAAATAATACACTGAAATGTCCAGAATCAATGATTCGCACTGTGAATAATATGGTGTATTTACATATGTTATCATGTGTCATTTTCCTTTTCCCAATATTTCAAGGTGGAATGTCTGGGGATGGTGAGTAAAACACGTTTTTTTTGTCTTGCTGGGGTAGTAACATCTGCCTTCCAAGCGACACCGACAATTTATGTATTCAAACATGCGCCCAAGAGTTATCCAATAAAACAACATTCGCTAAACTGCAATAAAATGACTTAGCTGTAGAAGGGTCAGACATCAAACGTCAATTGTCATATTCTAACACAAGTCTTAGATTTTGGAGCACAAATGCACAGCTTAACGACTCTAGCCACGAATAAACTATCCCATCGTAGAATACCTTCTCACAACCTCGACATTTCATTACACAAACAATTTGGCCAGCTTCCATCCGGGTCTCTGGCTGTATACGTATAGGTCCCCTATTCCCTCTACCAGGGTGACAGGTATTATAGGGAAATTTTGAAAAAAGCAGAGAATGAAATGACTATTTATCTAAAGACATACCTGTGAATATCTTATGAAAAAAATCTGTTGGCCTGGTAGAGGGCAGAGAATGAAATGACTGCCTATTTATCTAAAGACATATTTGTGAATATCTTGCGAAAAATCAATCTGTCGCCCTGGTAGGGGGTAGGCCCTCTACGGGTTATTTTTGTACGGCAGCAATGCGTTCTCGACAATCGGAGCGTACCGAACGGGCCGATAAGCTGATAAACGGTTTGTGTAATGAAACGCTGTGCTTGTGGTAAGTAATATTAATTTTTACGTTGGAGTAGTTAATTCGTGGCAGGAGTCGTTGATATGTGCAATAGTGTTCACAAACTTGAGGCTCCAGTTAGAAAACACTCAATTCGTTTTATAAGGCCCGAGGATTGCTCGTCGCATTGTAGAGTACCTGGGCCCGTAATGCCCCTATTTCACACAGACCACGAATCCCACGAATCGCAAGGAATTGACAAATTTCAGGAACTTGAAAGCATCGCGCATTGCGACCGAGCGCAAGCGTCTCGATTCCATAACTCGCCTATACTCGCCCCATATAATACATTGTAGCATCTGTGTGATAACGCTATTCGCTCGATGCTTTCGAGTTACGGAGCCCGTGTTTGAACCATATATGTTTGTAAAGATTTCCACACCAGAAATTACTGAATAGGCTGAAACTACTGCGCATGAGGTGAAATCAAAGAACTGTTCAGTTCTGTTCAGTTCGAAATCCTATAGCTATAGCTTATTTTTCTTTTTTTTGGTTTGCGATTATGTGCCTATTGTCAGAGACATGGGTCAACGGATTTCTTTGAGTAGTTGGCCGATTCAGCGTGCATCTAATTCACGGTCCCAGCATTCCTTTTCTTTTGATACCGGTCGCACCAGAGGCGGGTCCGGAGATACTATCTGACACAGTGACAGTCTTCCAAATTATCTTTGTTGACCCATCCTCCATTTTTGACTGTCTTCCGACAGAAAAAATTAAATACCCGTGAGTGTTAACTTGAAAATCTGACCGTCTTCCTGAAGACTCAGAAGACGGCCTCAACCCGCCCCTGCGTACGGTATGGATGACTGAAATCGTAGGCCCCAGTCGACACTAACGGTCTACGTAGATCGATCCGACTCTGCGGGGTCTCTCGCTGAGTGCAATCAGCTTAACTGAATGACACGCCTCCTCCCGGCGTTGAGCCGAATACAAAAAGTTGGTGATTATAGGAGTACGCTGGAAACAAGAGGGTACGTGTCATTCAGTGTTAAAAGCTGATTGACCTCAGCGAGAGTCCCCGCACAGTTGGAACTATCTACCTATGCAGTGTATGGGTATGGGGTCTTTGATGAGTATAAGCACCTGACACAAATCGATCGCCGACACACCACCACCAACCATTTTTATCAAGACAAAGTGAACTTAAGCAAGACAAAGTGACCTTTAGCAAGACAAAGTGACCTTTTCCATAAGGGCAGAAAGCACCCTGGGCTTGCTACTTTACATTTGTAGATGGTGTCAACTGAATGTTCATGCATTACAGAGATAATGAGCTGTATTCAAATCCAGAATTATCGTTGCAAACTATAATTACTTTCATAACCAAGTACTTGCTGGCAATATATCCGGGGAGTCTCCCTTCTGAACTTAATCTGACATCTGGGCACCAGACTTCATGGTTGCACAGGCACACATCAAAGGGTGAGCATTACATCACATTGTCCAATGGCAGGTCACTACTGGTCCACGAGGGTAAGTAACCACAACTTTTACTGTCTTACAATCAGACAGCCTTTGCCACCCAGTAGGACAGCACGGAAAGAAGACTAGTAAGGACTATACAACAATACCTGCTTAAGAAAGCATCAGGGGCTTAGACACAAGACCCCCAAAACAAGGTAAGGCATTCTTTCACTTTTTATGTACAGACACACAAGTTCGAAAATCGGCATGATCGGGCCACTATTTTACTAGTTATGCTGTTTTTTACTCTTTTCAGCATATATGCAACACTGTAAACACAATATAAGAAAAACAGATGGGCCAATTGTCATGAAAGTCACAGGAGTGGTCAATTTTACTAGAATGCAGGTTGAGTTCGTAAATCAGCATAATCGTNGGAATTGACAGTAGCCTATTTTGATATTTCCTGCTTTTTGTCTGTACATTTGACAGCTTTGCTGCCTTGTTATTATCCTTATCTGTTCGGCTCGCTGTAATTGGGAGTAAAATTATACTTATTACATGTATCATTAACTCAAAAACAGCTATCTGATTTTCAGTACAAGACGGTGGCATTATTAGCGGTACAAATGATATTTACCAGTCTCCAAATTGAGAAACCTAGAGCTAAAACGGATTTATAACTTGCCAACGCGTTTGGAGATGGTGTACCTTGGCGATTAAGGGAAAATTACAAAACCCTCCAGAATTTTGTAGCTGTTGTTATGTAATGGTATATTTAGTGCTGGTTGACTTAAAGCTTACCTTGACACAACCACGACACCGCTGTGAGCCGCCGTGTTGGGGACCTATTTGACGTTCACTACACATGCTGACAAGATACGGTTTGCAAGAAGAAACGCACGAAAGATTTACAGAAAACAGAAAAAGTCGGCCTGGCGTGTAAAATACCAACTTCACTGACTAATTGTGCCGTGAAATACGCAGGATATCATCTCGGCCTTTTGCTTTTTATTGAGGAAAAGCAACGAAGGAACAGAGGCGAAGCGATTTATAAAGATGGCATACCAAGGTTGGTTCGTCCTGATTGCGACAATTCCGGCTTCCCTGGTTTGTGCAAGTTTTGCATCGTGGTCAGAGTTTGTTGCGATGTTAAGTCAACCCGATTCCGGGATCTATGGCTCGGTGACTCTACTAGGTAAGTTGTATTGGCAGAGGACGGGTAAAAAGTTTGTAAGAACATGTGGAAATAGAGGTTCATAAAACTAACATTCCAGGTTCAAGACAACATGTACATATACGTACAAAACGTTGCTTTTAGATTTTTTGTAGAAGAATAGTTCACGCCTTATCTCTACTCTCCTCCACCGGGATAAGTTTTTCGTGGAATATTTACTGATATTTATCTCGTTTTTTCTGCACACATTTCAGTACTGTGATCCTGATATGAAAAGCAAATATAACACGGTAGTGTTATACAATTTGTCTCTGTCTTTAAATTACATTCACAATCACGGAAGAAAACCCAAAATTAGAAACAAAAGTCTCGGTAGAGTAATAAATATAGATAACTGATGACAGAAAAGGCAGACCTGGTGACGATTCTAAAATTGTAGAGGTACTTTGGCCTCATTATTTCCATTTGGCTCTTTTGATCTTTTCCACCAAAAACCATGGCCACACCTGATCGCCACACTCCGAGCGTTATGTAACCTTCCAACCCGGAGAATATATCCATATTCAGGGCAACTGTAACAAATATTGGAGTCCCTGTATTTAGTTTTATTGATCGACCATTTTTATCGGACATAGTCGTTTACGCTTAAACTAATAGTATTACGACACACAGGAATCGAACGATTCCTTATATTATAAAAACTGAGCCTCTAAAGTAGAAAGAGAGAGACCCAGGGAAATCGGCACTGTCCCTACCTGCGTGCCGGCCTGTAGCCCATATATGAGAGGAATAAAGACTACCTGAAACACAGTTTAATCTGTTGTGTGTATTCAAGCCGCCGTTTCTCAAAAATTAGTAACCAACCCAGGTTAATTACACAAACTCTCTTTATTTCAGTTGGTAACGTTTACGTAACCAACAAGGCATTGTCTCTCTGTCAGAAAAATAAAAACACAAATGACTTCATCACACAGCTGGCCTCTGGTAGACATTTCCTTAATTGTCACTGTCAAAGATATAAATAAATAAATAAATAAACAAATAAACAAATAAATAAATAAATATAACGAGCCAAACTAGGCAAAAGAATACTCTTTCCCTGTGACCTGAACATTATGGTAAAATTAACATCTATTGTATTCTATTTGCCGAACGAAGCGAGGCACATTTTCCTTCCCCCCTTAGCAAAGTCTTGGTTCCGCCACTGATCAAATGCACAGATTTTAAATATGGCACCAATCATGACACCTTATCATAATTATACCATTCACCCAAAATCGTGTTAACAGTCATTAGCCACCCTCGGACCCAGGTTTAATGTTTTTAAAACTCCCCAAGTGTAGCGAGGCAAATATAGAATGAAAGAAGAAGGGAAGTATTACTTTTAAGTGCAGACCACAGGGGTTGTAAATTGTCCAGTTTTTGTCTAGTTTGGGGTGGGGGGGGGAAGCCAACAGTGTATCCTATGTACACTGTATAGTGTATAGTGTGAATGATTTGTCATACGATGGAATGCAAAACCCTACTGTGCCAAAGACACCCTTCCATAAGTATCATAGGCACGCACGCTAAAGTTCATATTGTTCAAATGCCCGTGTAGAGCCGCATTTTGCAACCGACCGCATTTTGCAACCGGTTGCAAAATACGTTCAGTTGCAAAATGCGGTCCTACTAAGTACAGCCGCATTTTGCAACTGAACGCATTTTGCAACCAAAGAAAATCGTGAAAACGCATTTTGCAACTGCAACGCATTTTGCAACCAGGATTCTTTTCTAAGAGTCTAAAACAGTTTGAAGTACTAAACAAGTAGAATTAGAGGGGGGACGGGTTTGCTTCGACTAAATGCGGCTCTACACCCCCAATATGATACGAACAGGAAACAGTCACAAGTAGGCCTAATCCTCATGAACCAAATCAGAAGTTAAATTTGTAGCTAAATGTTATAGAGAAAAGCAGGACTTCTTAGTACAATTTAACACAATAGCCCAAAATACGTATGGCATGTCTATGTGGAGGAACCTTTAATGGATGTGGTAGTATCATGTAAAATATTATATCCTGGCATAATTAAGGTTGGCAGAATTTGTTCCAATTGCGTAAACGTCTTCATAATCATATGAATTAGTCTTTATTATATGTATTAGTGTTCGTGTAANGGCACGCACGCTAAAGTTCATATTGTTCAAATGCCCGTGTAGAGCCGCATTTTGCAACCGACCGCATTTTGCAACCGGTTGCAAAATACGTTCAGTTGCAAAATGCGGTCCTACTAAGTACAGCCGCATTTTGCAACTGAACGCATTTTGCAACCAAAGAAAATCGTGAAAACGCATTTTGCAACTGCAACGCATTTTGCAACCAGGATTCTTTTCTAAGAGTCTAAAACAGTTTGAAGTACTAAACAAGTAGAATTAGAGGGGGGACGGGTTTGCTTCGACTAAATGCGGCTCTACACCCCCAATATGATACGAACAGGAAACAGTCACAAGTAGGCCTAATCCTCATGAACCAAATCAGAAGTTAAATTTGTAGCTAAATGTTATAGAGAAAAGCAGGACTTCTTAGTACAATTTAACACAATAGCCCAAAATACGTATGGCATGTCTATGTGGAGGAACCTTTAATGGATGTGGTAGTATCATGTAAAATATTATATCCTGGCATAATTAAGGTTGGCAGAATTTGTTCCAATTGCGTAAACGTCTTCATAATCATATGAATTAATCTTTATTATATGTATTAGTGTTCGTGTAAAATACATGTAATCCTTAATTTGTTATTGTACTGTTCGTACGGCAGTTACAGAATATAATAGTACAGTGTAGCTTAAAGTCATATTAAAATGCACAAGTACCGAAAAAAAAAAATGGTAAATTAGTAAGAAAGAAACATATTAAGACATCATATGTAGGTTTAATAAATGATAATCAGGATGCATTATTTTTATAAAAATTTCAGGCTTTGTTCAGTCAGTTTACGTCCTGAGTGCTTTCGTGCCCAGTCCATTTACAAAGATGGCCGCCAAACACCTCAATATACGCCTGTCTTTTATGACCGGATTGGCAATCTCGTTCTTGGGCCTGGTGCTGAGTTCCATCGCCCCGGATATTACATTTCTGACAATATCGCGCGGAGTTTTTGTTGGTTTTGGCGTCAACTTCACCATGGTGCCCATATCATTTCTTATAGCTGAGTGGTTTCCATGGGAACATCGTTTCCACGTTTTGGCAACAAGTTTTCGGATGATGATTAATCCAATAGGTAAGGGCAGCTTTTCGTAATGTCTATTTCTTTAGTTGATTTTGCATATTCACCAACTGCTACCTGGAAAACACATTGACTTGCAATTTTAATTCTCTATTAGAGCTTCAATCATAAGACATAAAATCGATTCATAACAGTCACCATGTTGTCATGACTGTCAGCTTTAATGAATCAGCTTTACTGACGAAAACTTTAATAAAATAAATGTTAGCAGCAGCTCAGTTTAAGGTGGTTCGATACGTTAAAATGGCCTAAATCTGACAAATCCAAATCTGATCTGATCCCATCTTTTTAATGTAAATTGCTTATCTAATATTAGTGCAATAAAATCAAACACTTTTAGAGCAAAAAAAAAAATTTCGTCGTGAATAACACCAACCCACGCGCATCTGCTTTTGAGTCCCGCTCGCAATTTATTAAACTGCTTTGTAAATTGGTGTAAGATAGTGATCTGTTTCCGTCGTTACTCCGAAATTAAGTAAAATATTATCATTAAAATTGGCATTGCTGACGACCAGGGTGTGAGCTACAATCCCATGCTAATGTTTGCCTTTGAAATATTTTATTTATGAGATATGATCCCCTAATTACGATGTTTCACCACACTAAGGCATTAATACGCCTCTTTAATGATAAAATCAGAAGTAAGCCTTTTAAGAAGATTGCCTTACACGGGATTGTTGCACTTATTGTCCTGATTAGATAGGCTTTTAAATGGTGCTGATAGCTTATCAAGTGAGGGAGATCGGCTTGAAATAGAAAACACAATTTTCACAACAAAAACGCTGTCATTACGTCATCAGTCCGAATAAACATTCGTGTCGATGTATTTTCGATGTAACAGCAATATCTCATAACATGACGATGTTGATTTCATTCTTATGATCATCTCTGCATTATCTAAGCGGATAGGAAAATAGACACTAACATATTGAACCACCTTAACGTGTTTCAAAGGTCCATTGAAAAACGGCCATCTTCTGTTCAATTTCCAGGGAGCGTAGCTGGCGCTAATCTTATCAGATGGATTAATGATCTTCTCGGCTGGAGGTATTCTTTTGGTGTTCTCGCCATTCTTGCAGTCTGTACTGCTTTTGGTTTGGTGCTGTTTCTTCGCCACCCAGAAGAACAAGACAAAGATAAGGCACATTCTGAAGCACTCGAACAAAGTAAAATTCCATGGAGCAGGGCATCTAAAATGATTATATTTGTTCTTTGGGTGACTATATCATCTTGCAAAGCAGTTGGTCAAACAGTATTTTACACCATTGTGGTAGGTTATAGGATATGTAACATTAACATGAAATGGACTATCAGAAAAATAATTCTATAAATCTTATATAAATAATTAATGATATTAAAGTTATAGGTACAAGTCATTCAAGTCATTCAATCATTCAAGTCATTCAAATGTACCATATATGCGCTCTATGATAGGTGGGTCAAAATGTTTAAACATTAACACTATAAAAATGTGTTTTAGGTAAAATATGGAGAGGACCTGGGTTTTGATGCTCTTACTGCCACTCATCCCTTGACAGCAGATGGGATAACAGGATCTATATCTAGAGGGCTCACCTCTTTCCTTGGAGACTATATAAAGGGGAACATTCTGCATATGTATGCCGTTTGTGCCACCATGTTGTCAGTGGCCAATGTTTTGGTGCCGTATGTTAAATCGCCCGTTGAATTGATAATATTTGGCGCAGGTAAAAAAAAAAACTAGAAAACGCTATTTTTTCGTATCTTGTAACGTAAGATTCACTTGACCCTATTTTATTAAAGACAGAACGATGTTTTTCTTATTTGTAGACTGCTATTGTAATATCTTATATTCTCTCTGATATTTGTTTTATTATTTGCTTTCAAATCATGATTTTACATCACAGTAATAGGAGCCGGACAGGGTCCTATCTTGGCCGCGTGGTATGCCGCGTGCAGTGAAGCTCTTGGTGGGGAAAGTGTGCACACGCTTTTTGTCCTCCAACTTGTAAGCTGGGGAATAGGGCAATCCATTGGAAGTATCTTACCAGGTGATATCCATCATCTTCTTATTTAGTTTTGATCACTATTCCTCAAAATTCATTGTGACATTCATACAGAGAAAAAATTAAAATGTCATTTAAAGTGGATTGCAGTTGACATAGGGCAGATATTACCAAGAACCCACACTTCATTCATTTTGTATTGGCATTAAATTAATTTTGTATTGGCATTAAAAATTCAAACTTGGTTTGTGGATTAGCAGTTAAAATATGAACCCATTCAGAACAGCGGACTAACAGATTCGCTGATCAAATATGGCGACTCACTTAAAAGTTTGCCGCTTAATGCTCGATTTGACACTGAATAGATTCCCCGCGGGTTTTACGCAACAAGCGTTTAAGTGCGTAGGCCATATTTGACCCGCAGATCTGTTAGTCCGTTGTTTGTTAAACCGATCCAGGCCTTTCCATTCGTAATTCGGAAAATCCCTTTAAGTTTCCAGTCGTAGCACAAAGTTACATTTACAATGATGATTATTTTTATTCCTTTCAGGGCTTATTCTAGATTTTACGAAGAGTTATACCTTGCTGTTTCATGTATTGGCAGTGTCCTATGGCTTCATTGTATTTGGGTTTATTTGTATAATACTGCTCAATCGACGACATGCTTCTGTCAACGAAGGGTATCGTACTTACAACATGGCGTTAGGAAAAATCGGCTCAGCCTCTAAAACTGCTGAAGATATGTCAACGTCTGTATATCGATTGATACTTGAATCATATCCAAAATATGATTACGTTGAAGAGAGGGTCCAGCCATCTCAGGATGAACGATGAAAGGCAACTGACAGGGGACCTGATTTCGGCAAATCTGGGATGATTCCGTAATTCACTTACACGCAGGTGGTTAAATCATGTGACCAAAAATCATGTGACCACGTGGCGCCAAAGATACAATGGAAACGTGAATGTCCCGCAAGCAGCTACTATGGAAGGAGACGTAAATACATTCAGAAGTTAGTCACCATGTTTTGGAAGACCATTATGTTCTAGCAACAAGTTTTTTGACCTCTCCTGTTTGGAAAACATATCCATGTAATGGCTTCAAGGTGGCCTGGATGTGAGGAACTTTGCAGCTTTTGCTTGCAAACTACATTGAGGGTCGTATATAATTTTTAGTAGGCATAAAAAGCTTCACCAATGCAATTTGTATCATACTTAGTATTCTGCCGTGAATAAATTTATCTATTTATAAAAAACACTTCATTAAAACGGGATATGTTGCGGTTGCTTTTAGCGGAACTAAATGCCCACTACAAAGTGCACAGTGGCAGGTCATTGACTTTGATATAGACAATTTACCGCAGACTCAGTAAACCTTTTCTTTACCAGAGCTCGGTTGGATGCAGACAACCTCACCAGGCACAAAACAGAAGTGTGTTTAGCTGCTGACATATCTGTGAATACCTCGTGATAAAAGTCTACAGAGTACAAAATACCTTTGAGCGTATTATTTAATGGATACTTGCGAGAAAATTTTCAAAATCGCAACGAATTCATTGACATATTTTTACCGACCTTTTTTAATACAGTTGGGAGAACCTTTAAGGCTCATTCCTTATGATATATCTGTCTGATAGATTTAGATATTTACATGCGTATTTGCCGCTATCGCATCCATATTAAGATTAAAAAAATGTTAAGTACCTATGTTAGCTTTGTTGCTATGGTGATTTGACCTTAGGATTCAATTATTCTTGAACACTATGGGAAATTTAATGTTTTGCATATATTTTCAATTTCTTCACAGGTGAAGTGCGATCATAGTCCATTTCTCCTACAGATGGTCTTCAATACATATGACAAACATAGTTGAAAATATTTATAGGTGCCCATGCAAATTAAGTTGCTATGGTAACTTATTTTACTATAAAATTGAAAATCTTCACTTTCTTGGTACGTTTCTATTTTTTTTTTTTTTTTTTTTTTTTTTTTTTTTTTGCCGGTAACGTGTTTTCATTGACTTAATTAACTCACCACACTAGGGGTGCTTTCCCAGAGATTTAGATCGATCTAAAGATTAAGTTTTAGATCGACCTCACTCCCTGGGGGTTCACGCTAAATTGCAGTCTGCCGAGCGGGCACCATAGTTAATTACCCCCTTACAGCTTTTAGTAGGCGGGACAGACGCTTAAGCCGGCCAAGCTGACAGTAATTTAGTGAGACTCCCCACAGGGATAGATCGATCTAAAAATCTATGGAAATGGGGTGTAAGTCATCAGTACATAGCAAAACTAGAATTTGTCAAAGAGTGATTGATACCCATCATCAGTATATAGCAAAACTAGAGTTTGTCAAACAGTGATTGATACCCATCTATATTCTGTTGCTATGGCAACTTGCTTTAAGATAAAACTGTTTTATTGGTATATTTTCAAAGTTTACTTTGCAGGCAAAGTATTCTCAACAACTTAACTCACCACGCTATCTGTTGATGTTTTGTTAAATGTAAGTTGAGGAAATTCTTGATTAAAAAGCATTTGTTAAGCAATTTTAGCCAGCCAGTTTACCTCAGCTTTTGTCTATTGCTAGATTGCCTGATCGCCAGCACTAGCTGCAGACGCAATATAATAGTAACACACAAAGCATACGCAATGTTGTGTAGAAATTTGTCAATCTACAGAATCTAAGAGAAAACAACTAAAAATAAATTCGTGGATAAATTCCGCCCGCATTTATTCGTTAAGTCTGTTGTTCCTTATGATTCCACTCACCACAACTCCCGCAAAATCTCTTTTCATTTTAAGCAAAGTCACGAGATTTTGGTCCATCTCGGATGATACCCAAAGTGAACTCCGCGCCTTTCAGTCAATGAATAAAACTGTGGCTTAGCACCCTAAATATTACAACTGTCTATGCGTGTGCGTTGTCCTTTCTTTCAGTTCAGCCACCTCAAATATTCAGATTTTGTTTGCAAAGGCTTCTCATATACACGTATGATAATGAGAGTTCCTTTGAATTAATAAGCAATGTTCTAGTGTCGGGTCGCAGCGGATAGTAGTCATAAAATATACATCCAATTTAATATACATCCAATTTAATAAGCACCTAGCCTAAAGGGGACTGCGGTAGATAAGGTTGGTAGGGGAAATGGAGACAACGAAAAGTTATTCTTTTTCAAACATATATATATATATATATATATATATATATATATATATATATATATATATATATATATATATATTGTATTTCCCACAAAGGAAAGCCTCGTGAATTAAGTCACTGTGAAAGATGGTTCGACAAAAGTCCCTTTATGTAATGGAATGGTTGTATTTGATTTTTCACGTACAGTAACACGACCAACAAAACCCATCGGCACAGTGTCTGTGAATGGCGTCTCGGAGTTAGAAGAGAACGTCACGGTATTGCTAGATAACGTCGCAGTGTCTGTTGATAACGTTACAATATCTGTAGATAACGTCACAGTATCTGTTGATAACGTCATAGTATCTGTAAATAACGTCACAGGATCGGTCCACATCCATGACGCATACGATATCATAATTGGTAAGCTTGTCTCTGACGGGGGATCATCAATCCACTCTGCTGACTCTCCGAACCCTTGAAAATGAGTTGAGTGTGCATATATAATATTAGGTGTCGTCAGTTCCTCAAGAGAGTTAGCCTCAGCGATGTCATTTGACGTCACCAGCGCTGTTCTCACAGCTGAAGCGGTAATTTCGTGTGTTGTTGCCCAGAGGGGCTCTAGAACAGTCATTTTCATCTCGTCAAAGGGTGTCGTAGAGTTAGAGCCAATTCTCATTGAAGGTGTCCACATCCAAGACCAATAAGACACCATTATTGCTAGACTAGTGTCGGAGGGTGTGGCGTGCAACCAATCGGGTTCAGACGGTTTAGGCAGCACGGTTGATGATGCTTCAATAATGCTTGCCCCAGATGTTGCTCCTGCTTTACAAATTGGGTATAATGTCGCCATTGCTGCTAAAAGTAGTGCAGAATTATCCCAGCACGTGATAATGAACAACAGTATTGCCATTTTAACACAAAGTATAAGTTGCATTTCTATCCGTCATATATCTGTAAGGCTAACCTGAAGACTATACACAACCATGCTGCACAAGATGTAATGTGATATTTAAGTAATACATTGCTACGATCCGCCCTGATGTTGAAGTGTAAGGGCAATATTGAACGACCGATCTTTTTTTATTAGAGTCGCACGATGGAAAATTGCACCAGGTAACCCGATTAACTCATGGGCCTCACCAGCACATATCTCTTCGCAGTGTTGCGAGTTGGACATCTTAGGAGGTACTGCAGTTGTGTGCACAACACTTGGAATTTAAGGTCAACTGACAATTGACCCCTGGTCTGTAAAGATACCTATGATTGGCGGTCAATATAGAACCCCTAGAAAGTAGAACGAAGTACGAAGGTCACACTAGATAAATCCAGAGTTAGGAGCAAGTACAGTAGGCCTAAAAGACGTGGTATACTCTTGAAGCACAATGTACGTGTAGCACTTGATATTTAGAAGTATAAATATTTTGATGCATCTAGAAAGATCTACATGATAGTTGTTGAATACAGTCCGAGCTTTCGGCCCCTGGGCCTTCTTCGGGGAATATATGGTAAGGCCCATGAGTTAATCGGGTATACCTGAATTGATATTCCCCGAAGAAGGCCCAGGGGCCGAAAGCTCGGACTGTATTCAACAAGTATTATGTAGATCTTTCTAGATGCATCAAAATATTTATACTTCTATTATTACCAAGATCTATACGGTAAATCAACATGAATCCGCACTTGATATTTAAAATGCAACTGTTTTGGTTAGATATGTATTAACATTTTTATTCCAGCTGGACTGAATGACGTTTAAAAATTTTCTCTATAAATTACGTGTATTTGTGCTGTCGTGCAGTACAGTATTGCTTCCTTAAACGTGAGGCTTTTTTAAGGGTATTAAAATACAAGCCATTGTTACAACAAATATATACTTTCAGAGATTTGATCTCTGCAGTGAAAAAGATAAGTTAATGATGTAGATATTCTATTTTCTATGGACCGCATTCACCGGAATGAGTCTGAATAAGATCATTAAATTATCGCAACAACATGGGACACGCACAGCATGGGAATTAACGTCACGTGCAGCTTTAGTTGTATTCTAGCGTTTGTAAAGAAAATCAATTGTAAATGGGTAGAGGGAGGCCGCCATATTAAATAGTGATATATGTGGATTTTTCAATTTTTTTAATTTTTTGACCTCATTAATGAGACGATTGACACCAAAAGAGTCTTGAAGCAAGAAAATACTATCATAAACTTCCCTGCAAAATTCCATAACGATAGTTACTTCCATGGTCAAATCCAACCATTTTACAACAAATTTCTCAGCCTTTTTGATATGTCAACATTTTTTCTGTGTTTTGTCCAAAACTTGCCATATATGGATATATGTATACTAAGGACAAAGTGTAAATTTTAATTAATTAATTAATTTATTTATTTATTTATTTCCAAAATGATTCCTCAAAACACAAAACACAATATACATGCTCTCGTCTTTAGCCATCTTAATACAAGTACAATTATATCTTCCTTAAAACCACGTAGGCACCATCATTGTAACCCAATAATATATTTCCCGCAGTAAAGTCAACTCGACCTTTGGCTCTAGCAGTAAGATGGAGAGCAAGACTGCAAGTTGCACCAATGGGGATTTCACGGTGGAATCCTTGCTGGATAACAACAGATTGCTGAACTTGCCGCTAGGTGGCAGAGTGGACAAAGTGTACACCATCGGTTGCTTTGATCTGTTCCACGAAGGACACGTGAACTTGCTGAACAGGTGCAAAGCCCTTGGAAAACAGGTGATTCATTGTGTGGTGCAGATGTCTGAAAGTGTCGTTAACCACCCACCTCCAAAACCACTACGACCACTGTCACTTCCTAGCAACTAATGTTGAATATAGAATTCTTATCGTCATTTTTGTTCTTCTTATTATCAATTCATTTACTTTTTATGGACTTTTTATTACCTAATTCGGCAAGACATCGTTGTACGCAGTATTTAAAGCGGGACATACGTCATAGCCATGTTATACGTGTAGTTAATATTTATTTGTCCAAGCCTTAAGGATTTGAGCAAATTCTCAAATTCTCATTCTAGCACTTCTGTTCTACTTCTATCCGGGACTCCTAGGTTAATTCCGAATCTCTAATCAAATGATCCGTAATAAAACAAGTTTGACCAAAAGTTACCAGGACGTCCCATTATAATTCCAGCTCATAGTCGGTGTTCATGACAGTCGTAGCTGTTATAAAATGAAGCACAAGGTTCCCATTGAAACAATAGAGCAGCGGATGCTGAAAGTCAAGCAGCATGCGGATGTGGTAAGCAAAAATTCCATTAAACAATTACTGATGACATCGTGTTTTAATGGGTCTCTTCTTCTTTTTATTTACAGTCTTTTCTTTCATTTTTTCTCAAACTTCATATATCGAAACACATGTCGGATGCTTATATCCAAAAACATGATACATTTTTAGTAAATACATATCCACTCTTGATGAAAAAGTCCATTTAACGGATTAGTAAAATGGGAAAATGCGTCGGGACGGGTAATCTTTGAGGTAATAGAGAGCTTTCGCAACTGCACGTTTAGGCGACCGACTACATTTAGCTATCCGTAACCGTAAAGTGACCAACGTTTATTTTTTCGTGATTTCGCAGAAAGACCCGGTTAGCCTTTACGGATAGTCGAATTGTACAGTAGGCTGATATATGTTTCCCGTGCTGTAAGCAGAGACGTTAAATTAGGTCATACGCCATTGGACAAGTTAGGTATTGTTTGCTGCACACGGGTCATGAACGAATAGGTATGATAAGCATGTATAGGAGTAAAAAATCTTAAAA